TTAGACTGGATTCCACACACAGAAAAAGGTTTTAGTTTAGATCCATAAATCTTTTAGATTATCTTCACAAATATGAACAATTTCTGGATCATAAATCATCTAAATTCATACCAAACTGTGTCCAAACAGTGGCTGCTGTTTGGTGTGAATTTACATTATATATAAAAAGTTATACTGTTTGTCTTACTCTAAATAATTGTCCTTTACCACCATGACTCATGTGACTGAGGGGCGGGGCTTAATAAGTTTATGCTTCATCATACTGCTTTTTGAAACATGATGCATGTTTATGAAGCATTCAATATAAACATTGTTAAACCATATCATGTTTCAAAATAAATTAAATGATATGAAAATGAGATTGGGTGTATTGGGTGTAATTTGTGTGTTCAGATGTGAAACTGTGAGCTCTTTTCCTCTGCTACGGAAGCCTGGAGGGACAAACCAGAACCTCCAGGTTTGAGTTTCTGGCGGTTAAACGGCAGAAACCGCAGCAGGATGTTTGCTTTTAATCTGACTTGTCTCTGAGGGACTTTCGTGGTTCAGACATTTAAAAAATGGAGGCAGCAGCCATGTGACCACGAGCTGAGAACCAATCAGAACAGAGATCAGAGCTCCACATCTGGGTCTGATCAGAGCTCTATGGGTCTAATTAAAGCTCCACATCTGGGTCTGATTAGAGCTTTCTGGGTCTGATTAGAGCTCCACATCTGGGTTTAATTAAAGCTCCACATCTGGGTCTGATCAGAGCTCTATGGGTTTAATTAAAGCTCCACATCTGGGTCTAATCAGAGCTCCACATCTGGGTCTGATTAGAGTGAGAAAACTATTTATTTGGATGATTTAAAAAGATAAAATGTTAGTTTAGAGGTTTGCCAGAACTGGATCTTCTCCATTAATCCTGACGTCCTTTTTAATGTCTGAACGATAAAGAAAAATAAACTAGTTTGGGTCATTTATTTACCTGTTTTTATGAGTGAGTGTTGAAAAGATAGATAGATAGATAGATAGATAGATAGATAGATAGATAGATAGATAG